GCCTGCTTTGGATCCTCTGTTTCCCTCTCTCTCTGTGACCCTCCCCAGCTCTCATGAGTACTCTCTCTCTTTCAAAAATAAACATTAAAAAATACTACACCTTCTGACTTCTCTACCAGCTTAACTGATATGGTTAGCATAACCCCAACTTCCTGAGGATGTTCAGTCCTATGAGCTCGGACAAAAATCTGTGTCTGGGTCATGGTGACACTACTAGGGTGTGAGGATCTGCAGAAGGTGTCCTCCACCTCCTGCTGTTAGTCTGTTTTTAATTTCACCAGCAGGGACTCCCCAGTATTCCTCCAGATAAAGACCACACTACCCCCCACCAGATCGGTAGCTCTGCAGCAAGATCATGAAGACACTGGCCTGGGACACCCACCCTTACTTGATGCCCCAGGCAGAATCTGTATTTCTGTCTCCCCAACCATCTCAAATAAGGCTACACACCAGGGAGTTCTGGGACTCTCAAACTAGAATGAAGATTGGGAACAAGACCACAGGAATTAAAATTGTCAGCACTTAAAAAAAAATTGCCATTGTTCAAAAGCACCATGTTATGCTTTTGCAATTTCTCTTGGTCTTCTCTAGGCCTCTGAGGATTGAATACTCCCCAAATGGTACTTTCTTTGTACCTCTCAATGGACTTGAGCCTCTCCCCTGACTCTCCGGAGTTCTTGGAGGCAGGATGATTGCTCATGTCTTAATGGTCCCCTCTGGTTCAGTAATAATGTTTCTGCTCTGAAGCCATACACACAGTCCCGGAAAGCCACATACACAAAGAATAGTGGTTTTGGATGGCTCGGCCAGCCACTGCCTACTGCTTACCTCAGTTCATTAAACATGTTTCCCCATAGAGCATCCAGATCAGATCGTTGATGGCTAATTACTATGCTGGATGCTGTCAACTGGACCCATAATTCCGCCACAGTCTTTGGGTCTAGAGTCACTCTGAGCCTGAAACAGGCTGAGGGCTTGCCAGATTTTTGAACTCTTCCTTAACAAGCAATTGGATACATATATATATATACACTAGAATTGTATAGAACTATAACATGGCCGCACTGCCTTCCCCCAACCCCAGCCACAAAACCTACAGCCATAATCTTTTAGAGTACTTACAGAACGGGTAAACAGGAATCGAGGTACTCTGGATTGAAAACAAGAAGTAACAGAATTTGCTTGAGGTATTTTCAAGTCATAATGACCTGGTCCTGGGCCTTCATGCTATAGAAAAAAAAAAAAAAAAAGAAGAGTGTTTTATAACTACTAATATTTGTTATATTTCATTGCTTTATTTGCCTTCCACAAATAAACATATGAATCACTGTGATATGGTAGAAAAATCCCTAGATTGGGGGTTGCAGTATATCATTAAGGTGTGCCCTGGCACAAGTCATTGTGAAATGGGGATAAGACCTGCTTTACCTGCTTTACTCGCCTTGTGGATTAAGTGACCCGTGCTAGTTTCCCTCTCTCCTGCCTGTGCCCCTCCCCCCACACTGGCACACCTCACTCCATACTTGTCCTTCTGACTGGTAATAAGGATTTCCTGCTTTGGGCTGCTAGCTTTATAAAACACACTTATTCTTTCCTATGAATATAGTATGTGTTATCTAAGTCCAAACAAGTATTCACAGCAGTTCACTGATAGAAGTACAATGCTATAGACATTAACATAAAATGAACACAATTTTTGAAAGACAATCATCCTAATAGAAAAATTAGGAAAAGGCAAGTTACAAAGAGGAAATACAATTGTTCAAGTGAGGAAATGGCAGGGGGTGGGGAGAGCTTTAATCCCATGAATAACCAAATAAATTCTAATTAAAACAATGATGTGATTCTTGTTTGGGGGTCTAAAAAATTCCTGAAGAAAGAAGAAAGGCAGAGTGGGGAAGGAGAGAGAGAAGAAAAGAAAGAAAGACCCAAAATTTTAACCACCGGCATGGGCACAACTATATTCTTCTGGTGCAAGTGTCAATTTGATTAGCATTTCTGATGTGCGATCTGGCAAGATATGAAACGGCTTGAAAACATTTATGCCTACCCAGAGGAGAGAAAGGAGACCAGTTACCACATTGCTGCAGGAATCCGAAGACAGATGAAGAGTCCTGAGCCCAGATACAGCAGGGAAAATGGAAAGGGCCCACACATTGCAGTGGATAAGGTGGACAAAATGTTAACTTTTTTTTTCTGGAGATTCACTTTTTCTCATTTCTCTCCTGTTTTCAAATACCTGTGTTATCTGACAGAAATGAGTCTTTCTGGCATGATGTCTTCGATCTGTTCTTAAATAATGCAGGGACCAGGGGAAATGGGTGTGAGTACACATTGGCCACGAGCTCTAATTGTCATAAGGGTGCATGGAGGTTCGATGAAGTATTGTGTCTATGTGGTATATACTTCTAAAGTTTTTACAATGTGAAGTTACAGACAACGTATATTTATATTTCAGATCCAGCAATTCCACTTTTAGGAATTCATCCTAAGAAAGCAACTGAGAATGTATGCAAGTATTTCACCACAAAGACATTCACTATAATGTTGTTTCTAAAAATGGAAAATTGGAAATAAACTAAATGACCAGTGATGCGTGCCTGGCTAAATACACTGTGATTCTTCCATCCAGCTGTCTGGTGATGAACTGTCAAGGACACAAAAGCTACTCTCTAATATTGCTAAGTGCAAATGCAAGCTTAAAAAAAAAAGTACATAAAAACACAGGGAATGGAATGTTCACTGACTGTTTTCTCCAGGTGGCAGCGTGTTGTGTAAAAAGAATGTTATTTTTCTCATCTGCATTTTCTAATTTTTCTTCCATGGACTTGAGTGCTCCTGAGGTATGAAAAAAATTGTACCTAACATATGGATAAAGAATATGAAAAATGGGCAAAGGGAAAAAAGACAAAATGAACAATAACTCATGTCTTAGAGTAGAACAGAGAAATGTGGGGGCGCCTGGGTGGCTCAGTTGGTTAGGTGCCCAACTCTTGGTTTTGGCTCAGGTCATGATCTCACGGTTTGTGAGTTTGAGGCCCACATCAGGCTCTGCACTCATGGTACAGAGCGTGCCTGGGATTCTCTCTCCCTCCCTCTCTGCCCCTTCAGCGTGTATGTTCGTTCATTCGTTTTCTCTCTCTCTCGAAATGAATAGAGAAACTTAAAAGAAAAGAAAAGAAAAGAAAAGAAAAGAAAAAGACCAGAGAAATGTGTCCTGTAAGATCTATGTCATAGGTAAGGCTGGGCCACCAATTAGCCCATCATATTCAGCAGAACAAGTGCCCAGGTGCAGACCCTTCAAGGATTTAGGAGCAAGGCTTTCCCTTGTTCACTCCCGTGGGTGGCAGCTGCCATTCTCAATTATCCCTCCATGAATGGAGTCTGTTATTAACAGTCAAGCACAAGTCTAAGAATCAAGGGATGGATGTGCCTCATAATTTTATGACTCACAGCAGAGACATGAGAACAGCAATGTTTTGAAACCGGTGCATACATGGGACAGAGATCACTACCCCAGTGAGGCTCTCTGTGTGGAGTGACCTCCACACTCCCACTGGAGAAATCCGAGCTGCCGTAAAAACCAGAGCATAGAAAGCCAGGGACTCTGACAGGAACAGTCTGTGTCACCTTCCCTTGGTTTGGCCAAGAGAAATACAGTGCTTTGAAGCCAGAGCAGTAGCTGGGGAAAAAGATGCTAAGTGTGCTTCATTGACTTCATGCCTACAGCCATCTGCAGAATGGCCAAGAAATGCTGCCCATGCCCTCTTGCCCCCCAGCCTGATGTGGCTTACGTTTCTAAGCCCCAAATCATGAGCTCCTTGGGAGTCCAGGTGCCAGGCCTGGCAAAGCCCTGGTGTGTGCCTGTGCACCCAGCAGCCTCCCTATATGGGTATGGTCATCTAAATCAAAGGGCCTAAAAGTTGGGGCAGAAAGAAGTGACTTCATGCTATTTGCCCCACGTGTCAGATGGAATCTTTTAAGAAGGAACATTAGGGAAGTGGACACAGGCCCAAGTTCATATTCCAGAAGTCAGAGGAATGTTGTTCTAAGTGAGAAGTAATGGTTGGGCCAGGACCTTGCAATGGGCAGGGAGCAGTTCCGGCACAGACCCCACTTCCGAGGACAATGTGAGTCGGCAGAGCAGAAATGGAAGGAAGCGGACATGGTCTAGGATGGCTCAGAATGTGGGTTGAGAAAATGGATCCAGTTCAACAGGAGGGTGTTTAAAACAGGAACACTTGAATGGCAAGAACAACTTCAACCAACCAGGAGCTATAGAGATATTACCTTCAACCTTAGAGGAGTTTATCCAGGGAGGGATTCTTTTTATCCCAAAAGGTAGTGAGGAGCTCAAATGGTGCTGAGTGAGAGCTGAGCTAACTGTCTGGCTTCAAGACTCTACCCCAGCCCACATTGTATCCAGCATGTGCTAGCTAAGTGTGATTTCAGGGGGCCAACGGATGGTACCAAGGGTTGCTTTCCACTTCCTGTAAAGGGCTCAGAATGGATGGGTCCTATTGACTTTTCTGCAGTGCTCGTGGGAATCTGTCGTACCATAAAGAGCTTCTTAGTGGGCAATAACTCTCAGTAACATTATAGGCCTTTGGTAAGCCCTGCCATGCCTCTACTGAACACACTTCTCTGGGACTGGGAGAGTGGGGCGGGCTAATCTACGACACACTGCTCTGGAATTAAAAGGTGTTATCTCTCTGGGACATCCCAGAGCAGCAAAATTCCAGGCATCTCTGAAAGACTGTGTGAGGGTAAATTAAATTATCCAAAATTAACATGTGTTGAATTGTGATCTCCTCAAAATTCACAAACCCCATAAATTTGTACTGTGTTGAACTGCAATGAATGATATCCTCCCCAAAATTCATAGGAACCATGAATCACTAGTACCTCAGAATGTGACCCTCTACGGAAATAAGGTCCTTGCAGATGCAATTATGAGGTCATCAGGATGGGCCCTAATCCTATATGCTGGGAGTTGGGAAGACAGTGGTATATGACTGTCTCCCAATATCTATTGTATCCCTTAGTATTAGAAACATTTTAAAGTGGGCACATGTCTAACCAGAATGAAGACTAAATCCCCCAGCTTCCCCTGAAGCTACATGTGACCGCGCGGCTAATTTCTAGCCAAGAGGACAGAGGTGAGGAGATATGTACAAATTCCAGAGCATCCTTATGGAGAGGGCAGCTTGTCCAGCTTCCCTGCCTTCCTGCCTGCTAACTGGTCCCATTGAGAGTTCTTGGCTCCCTGGGACCATGGGAATGAAAGCCATGCTCAGCAAGCAGCATGCAGAAATGTGATGCTGCAGAATTGCCCCACCCTGGCCTTAAACTGTCTACTGCAGGAAATGTACACAAGACAAAAGCCTGTGCTTCTCTCATTTATAATGTTGCTATTTGGGGTCTCTATTCCTGGCAGCAGAACTCAGTCTTAATTGACAAGATGGATATGTGGCCTACTCTCATGGGGCTTATATTCTAGTAGGAAATATACGCAGTAACAAAAATTATAACAAACATGTGGCATATGACACAAAAGGGCATACAGGATGCTATGGGAGAGCATGTAAGAGGGTAAACTGATCTGGCCTGAGAAACCCTTAGCGAAGTACAAACGAGGTAGGACCTAAAGAATAAAGAAGGGGTGGAGTCTGCGGGCAAAGAAGCTAGAGGAAGGATCTGTGCAGAAGCAGTAATAGGGGGGCACCTGGGTGGCTTAGTCGGTTAAAGCATCTGAGTCCGGCTCAGGTCACGATCTCATGGTTCGTGGGTTTGAGCCCCGCGTCAGGCTCTGTGCTGACAGCTAGCTCAGAGCCAGGAGCCTGCTTCAGATTCCCTCTCTCTCTGACCTCCCCTGCTCACGCTGTCTCTCTCTCTCAGAAATAAAAAAAAACATTAAAAAAAATTTTTTTAAAAAGGCAGTAATAGGAAAGGTTAGGGAAAGCTACCCAGTGAGGAATATGCCATTCATTTTAACCATTCAAACAAATCCACTGCATCACAGAAATAAAATAAAATGTGCATAGACTCCTGTCAAAAAAATTATATGCATATAGTTAGGGACCTGAAATTAAACTTTCTCAAGACAGTTACCACTTGGGTGTTTTTCACACATTTATGAACACTAAGAATCGTTTTACAATTTAACTGCAGATGCAGAATGTTAAATGTCACCCTTGTATTTCCAATCTCTGCAAGTCGTCTGCCTCTGATTTGCAGCTTCCAGGGCAGCTCTCCAGCCTGGTGTGCAGCAGGCTCCCTGCCACCCACCGCAAGCTCCCCCAGGCCCTCACCACTGCTCATCCCTGCACCGTCTGTAGCTCACATACCCACCCTTATCCAATGCTCACAACAGCCTCACAGGGGAAACGTCATTCCCTCCATGTAACAGATGAGAAAGTGAGACTGGGTAGGCCTAGAAACTAATGCTTCAGCAGTTCAGTTGTGGGAGCCAGAGCCAGTTACTTATCTTGCTTTTCATCGCTGAGAGGTATCGGTGCTTAGTTTTAAGCTATTTTTCCTTAAAATCACAAAGCTAGGGGTGCCTGGGTGGCTCAGTGAGTTGGGCATCTGACTCTCGATTTTGGCTCAGCTCATGATCCCAGGGTCACAGGACTGAGCCCAAGGTCAGGCTCTGTGCTGAGCATGGAACCTGCTTGAGATTCATTCTCTCTCTCTCTCCCCCACCCCGTTCCTCTCCCCTGCTCATGCTCTGAGATAAAAACTATAAATAAAATCACAAAGCTAAAGGGGACCTAGAAAGAGCACACAGTCTATTCCCACTGATCCTAGGCACAACTTTCAATGAATCATACTTGAAGAGAGAAAAGGTCAGAAGCCAAATTTATGGCCCCAAATGTCTATCTGTACACATGTAAAACACAAGTAATAAGCAGCATAAACTGAAATTATTAGATGGGGTAGGAAAATGATCTCATCCAAATTTGGTGACATGGGTATAATTGCTGGAATACATTGCTCAAGAAAGAAAAAAGGGATGCCTGGGTGACTCAGTCAGTGAACCATCTGATTCTTGATTTCTGCTCAGGTCATGATTTCATGGTTGGTGAGTTCAAGCCCCACGTGGGGCTCTGTACTGACAACATGGAGCCTGCTTGGGATCCTCTCTCTCCCTCTCTCTCTCCACCCCACCCCTCCTCGTACTGGAAGGAAGGAAGAGAGGGAGGGAGGAAGGAAGAAAGGAAGGAAAGAAGGAAAGAAGGCAGGAAGACAGGTGGCCTAGCAAGGAGAGTGGAATCCTGTGTGGAGGCAGGCACAGAGAGAAGCTGGAGCTGCCCCTCTAGAACTCAGCGGGAGGCATGAGGCAGAGCATATTCAACCCAGAAAATTCTAGAATTCTGTGATGATCTACAAGTTCACAGGAGAAAGCAGGGAGACATGCATGCTGTTGAGCAGGGTAGAAGCCAAACTATCAGGCCCAAAAGTTACTCATGTTTGCCAAATTAAGAATTGACCACACCTCTGAAGTGTAGCTCGGTACTGTTTATGTCTGCAGAAAGGAGAGAAACACTGGCAGTCTATGTTTCCTGATAGAGGCCATGTGGGCAGGCAGCACGGAGCGATCACAAACCTGCCCACCATGAAAGTGCAACTTTTACAGGAATGCATGTTCCAGGGCCCGCTAGGCAACGCAGCATTGCTACAGGTATTCACTGGCCCATCCCCCCCTTTCTAGATGATGGGGGGTGGGCACCAACGTTAGAAATCTAAGGCACGGAGTGGTGGTGGTGGGGCGCCTAGGTGCCTCAGTTTGTTAAGCATTCCCAGCTTTGGCTCAGGTCATGATCTACCAGTTGACGGGTTAGAGCCCTGTGTCCGGCTCTATGCTGACAGATCCGAGCCTGGAGCCTGCTTCAGATTCTGGGTCTCCCTCTCTCTTTCTGCCCCTCCCCCACTCGCTCTCGCTCTCTCTCTCAAAAAATAAACATTAAAAGAATTTTTTTTTTTTTTAAATTAAGAAAGAAAAACATAAGGCATACTTGCGCACAGGAACTTCGGGCCGAGCTCGCAACTCCTGGTCATGCGATTGGTCCGGGGCAGGCATGTGACTATCACCTGGCCAATCCAAAGAGCCTGCATTTTCACATGCCACACCAGGTGGTCAGGCAGGTAGGTGTGCACCTGGGACTGCTCATGGCCCCTCCTACCAGCCCATAATCAGAGTGTGCCCACAGCTGGGGAAAGGTAAATCAGTGGCAAACGTCCCAGAGGCTGTGTGAGCCAATAATTCTTCATCCTTCTTTTATGTTTTAATGTTTTGCTTACGCTAATTCAGGATAGGCGTCTGTCACTTGCAACTGAAAAAAATCCTACTGATTATATGCTTTTTCCTATTCCCAGTCAAGATGCTGTTGTAAGAAAGAGCAGGACATTCTTTATACTCGCAGCCGAACAGGGATATATGACTCTGCTGGTGTTCATACCACTAGAAAAGTTGCACAAAATTTTTAAAAAGAAAAAATGCCAGGATATCTTTTAATAAAAAAGCCCTAGTACATCTTTAGCTATATTTGAAAGGTTATATTTTTCCAAAAATGTTACCTACAAGTGAACTCATCTTTGAGGAGACTGAGCCTGGGACCTGCTTTAATCATCTTTCAGATTCCATTCAAGCAGAAATCCATTTGTGTTCGGCTTGATTCAATCCGACCGTGTTGACTAATTATTTTTCCTTGTGGAGTTTTTAAGGTATCAGCTTAGTTTCTAGTTGAACTAATTTCGTAAATGCAAAAACAGTTGGACTGATTCAGCATTCTGTCACAGTGCTAGTTTCAATGCAGAGTATGCCACAGACTACTATGCCCCTTTCAAAGTGCTCTTAATTGTGACTACAGCAGACAAATCATATAACGCCCATTCGTATCTGCACACACTCTTTCCTGTTTATCTAATCCTTTCCTTATTCTTTACAGGCTTGTCAGGCTTTAAGAAATACAGAAGCATCTTGAAATATTTGTGACATCAAATAAAAGTAACCCATTTTTGTTGACATTGTAAGATTCTATTTCCTACTGTCAGGAAAGGTGTGCATGTCTGCATTTTCACTGTCTATACAATTGTGAGAATTAGAAACTGTAAAGAATCTGCTCAGCAAATCCCTATAAGCTCCACATCATATGAATGACTGCAGCCTAATTAAGTAGTCGTTAAGTGGAGCTATTTTTATTTAAGTAACAAAATATTTTGGGGGCACCTGGGTGGCTCAGTCAGTTGAGCGACCAACTTCAGCTCAGGTCATGATCTCGCAGTTTGTCAATTTGAGCCCTGCATCCAGCTCTGTGCTGACAGCTCAGAGCCTAGAGCCTGCTTCAGATTCTGTGTCTGCCTCTCTTGCTCTCTCTCCTCTCTCTCAAAAATAAACATTTAAAGTAAATTTTTAAGTAACAAAATATTTTTATGTTGACCAATTTGATGGCTCTTTTCCACAAACACTAACTCTTGTCTGACTTCTGAAAATTGTATTTTGAAAAATTATAAAAGCAATCAAAAGAAAGGAATTAAACAATCACCCTAAATCATCACACCTCGGCATAGCCAAAAAGCATTTTGGTGCATTTCCTGTTTTCTTATACACACAATTTTTCTTCCATTATTTTAATCATAGTATATGTACCAATTTATATATCGCATTTTCCCCCTACACGTTAGATCATAAACATTTTTGATGCTATTTTGTGATTTTAACAGTAATTGTTTAATGGCTATACAATATTCCTTTGAGTGGATATCTAATATTCTTTTAAAATTATTTCCCTTTTGGGGCACCTGGGTGGCTCTGTCAGTTAAGCGTCTGACTTTGGCTCAGGTCTTAATCTCACGGTCCATGAATTTAAGCCCTGTGTCGGGCTCTGTGCTAACAGCTCAGAGCCTGGAGCCTGCTTCAGATTCTGTGTCTCCCTCTTTCTGCTCCTCCCCCGCTCACACTCTGTCTCTCTCTCTCAAAAATAAACATTAAAAAAACATTATTTCCCTTCTGCTGGATGTTAAGTTGCTACTGTTATCTTGCTATTATAAGTAATCCCTTCATGATATCTTTGTCAGATGATATTTCTGTATATAAGACTATTACTTTAAGCAGGCTTTCTCAAGAAGGAATCAATAGCCTACAAGATAATATACTGCCAAACTGCCTGGGGAAAAAAGACTTAGAAAAAAGCATCTTTCTTAGTCTTCTTTACGCAGATGGGCATATAAATAAAGTCATCAGTGGCCCCTATATGTTCCAAGAAGTTGTGCAGAATCTCTGAAATCCAAATGTGAGAAGATAGTCCACATTTGGAAACACATTCAAGAGGGAACAAAATTCATGCAATTTTTTTGGTGAGTCAAGAGTTTTATTTGAGTCATTTTTGAAAGCACTTAAATTAATTAAAGGGAAGATATGGAAACCAACTTGACAATAAACTATTTGCAAAAAAAAAATTAATTAAAGGGAAGAGTGAGGGGAGGAGAAACCACAAATGACAAGTTTTACTTTGTCCAATTCTCTTGGAGAAGAATGACCAGGATTTCTTGTAGTTTTCCTTCTTTAAAAAAAATCCCACTATGAGGCAACTGTATCTTTAGGTCTTGGAATTTGTGGGGCTTGGTCATTATTATCAAGGTGCTCAAAGGCAGCAGAAGTTGCCAATACAATTCTTATTATGGCACAAAAAGGCCCTTTTTACTTATGGCAGACCATGTCTCCTGGCATTGATCTCAAAATGCTCACATAAATCTTCTCACAGTCTTTACTATAGACAAAACAATCGTGCTGATCCAAACCAACTATTATTTCAACAATAACTGAAATAGACAATGAGTATACAACCTTACATTGGTAGTTTGATCTAAAGATTAAACACCATTTTCCAAGCCAACAAATCCTTTCCCTGACAACTACCTACACTTAGGGGACAAAATGTAATTCACCAACTGGGCCCCTGACACAAACAAGAAGGCTGTGTTTTCTAACAAGTTCCACAAGTTTCTAACAGCTCCACTACACTGAGAGGCCTATAGGGGCATATGATCCTAGAGGATTTTCAACCCCAAGGTTAATGTACTTTTTACAACTAAAAAATCATGTAGTGATCAGCTAGGCATTCACATGGTCATCTACTTGTTTTTTAATTGGTGCTCCTGGAGATGTTAGGCGTGAATGATGAACAAATTTCAGTGGGCTACTTTTCACAGATGATGGAAAGAGAGGAGGAGGAGATGCACACCTGTATGTATCCATCTTTTATAACCTGCCGCATTCTCAAAAGGGTTTAGAGTGGCTCAGTGAATATCTGTAGGTCATATTATACTACACCAGATCTACAGGTCAGATTTCTGGTGACTATAGGTTTCAGGTATACCAACAATGAGGCAACCTGTCCTAAGTCAACAGGGCTCAATGACACCACAACCTTACAGTGCAACCATACACAAAACACATTTCAGAAAAGTTAAAGAGTTATAAGGTTTAAAAAAAAATTTTTTTAAGTTTATTTATTTATTTTGAGAGACAGAGATAGTGTGAGCAGGGAAGGGGTGGGGAGGGGGGAGGGGAGAGAGAATCCCAAGCAGGCTCCAAACTGCCTGGGCAGAGCTGGACGTGGGGATCAATCTCATGGTTTCTGAGATCATAACTTGAGCCAAAATCAAGAATCAGACACATAACTGACTGAGCCACCCAGGTGTCCCTAAGAGTTGTAGGTTATGTTTTTTCAAATCAAAACACCAAATACATGAAAGAAAACATCATGTCTCTGGAGGGAATATTTTAAATAGTGGAAAAAATAAGAAAAAGTACATAGATTTCATTCATTCAACACATTTTCTGAGCAATGTCCTAGGCTCTGGATATTGATGAAGAAGACAGTCCCCCTTCCTTGGAACCTACATTCCAGAAGGTGATGATAAACTCTCTAATTAGACGATACAAACATTTTACATTTTGAACTTCTCTCTAGGGATGCCTGGTGGCTCAGTCGGCTGAACCTCTGTCTTCGGCTCGGGCCGTGATCTCATGGTTTGTGTGTTTGGGCTCTGCATCGGGCTCTCTGCTGTCAGCCTGGAGTCTGCTTCGAATCCTCTGTCCCCTCTCTCTCTACACCTCCCCTGCTCACTCGCTCATGCTATATCTCAAAAATAAACATTTAAAAATAAGTAAATAGGGGTACCTGGATGGCTCAGTTGGTTAAGCATCTGACTTCGGCTCAGGTCATGATCTCACAGTTCGTGGGTTCGAGCCCTGAGTTCACCTCTGTGCTGACGGCCAGCTCAGAGCCTGGAGCCTGTTTCAGATTCTGTGTCTCCCTCTCTCTCTGACCCTCCTCTGCTCACACTGTCTCTCTCTCTCTCTCTCAGAAATAAGTAAAACATTTAAAAAATTTTTTAAATAAATAAAAATAATAAACTTTTCTCCATATAAAAACACAAAATCCCTGAAAACCCTCAGCAAATACAAGTGCTAATATTTTTTCGCTATAGAGTTTATACAAATTAACAACAACAAAAAAATGGTAAAACTCCACCCACAAGATAACTGGGTAAAGACTATGACCAGAAAGTATGTAGGAAGGACCTCAAGTAACTGATTAATAATTAGAATGTGTAGTCTCACATCCTACAGATTAAAATAATGAGATGCCATTCTTTTTTAAAAAAATTTTTAATGTTTATTTATTTCTGAGTGAGAGAGAGACAGTGAGAGCAGGGGAGGGTCAGAGAGAGAGGGAGATACAGAATCTGAAGCAGGCTCCAGGCTCTGAGCTAGCCGTCAGCACAGAACCTGATGCGGGGCTTGAACCCACGAACTGTGTGATCATGACCTGAGCCAAAGTCAGACGCTTAACCGACTGAGCCACCCAAGCACCCCTCTATTCTTTTACTATCAAATTAACAAATATTTAAAAAATAATGATAAACAAAATTCATACCAATTTTATGAAATGGGCATTCTTTTGATTGCTGGTAAAGATATAAATGAATGTGATACTTTTAAAAAAGGTTTGGCAATCTAGATCAAGAAGCTGTATATAACCTCTAACCTAGTAAATACCATTTGTGATAATCCAGAAAAAAATGATGCTCAAATTTAGAAAAGACTTTATGCATTCAGTCTTATGTTAGCATTTGTCTTTTGATCGGAGTATTCGGTACCATAGTCTTTGTATAACAAAATTGTGATGTAAACAAAGTTGTCATAACACAGAAGAATTCTCCAATAAGCTGACCTCTTACAAAATTATATTCTATTCAAGGGGCACCCGGATGGCTCAGTTGGTTAGGCGTCTGACTTCAGCTCAGGTCATGATCTCAAGGCTCATGGATTCGAGCCCTGCTTCAGGCTCTGTGTTGACAGCTCAGAGCCTGGAGCCTGCTACAGATTCTGTGTCTCCCTCTTTCTCTGCTCCTCCCCCACTCACACTCTGTCTTTCCTTCTCTCAAAAATAAATAAAAACATTAAAAAAAATTTTTTTAATTAAAAATTATATCCTATTCAAGCATCCCTTCCCGCTTAACACTGGCATCCACCATTGCAGACAGGACAGTGTCTTTTTGAGTCAGTTTCTCCCCATCATTCCTAAATGATATTTAATAATATATCACAAATAAAGTACAAATCCAATTTAAAGTGAAAATGCACATTTTACCCAAAAAATGCAAGATTGCATGAAGTCACGGAAACTGATGAAAAAGTACCTAAATCACAGGAAAGGTCTTTGATGGACCAATGAGGACCCAGCAAAGTTAAGCTAGCTAACAAGAAAAAAGAGACGATGAATAGGATTGTGACAGTATTGGCCTTTCAGTAAAGAATGATTTCAAATGTCAGAGGAGGTGCCCCTGGGAAAACTAATGACACTTCAAATAATATTTTTCTAAAATTTGTCCTCTGTGATTTCATTAGAATGTGAAACATGAAGTGAAGGACATCACTATACTATTATAAGATATTGTCAGAAAAACTGAACACAGTCTCCTCTTTAACTTAGGAATT